ACTGTATGTCATTGTAATTCTAGGAAGGCTAGAGCAGTGGTCCCCAACCTTGGGCCTCCAGATGTTCTTGCGCTACAACTCCCAGAACCCTTCACCACCACCTCTGCTGGCCAGGATTTCTGGGAGTTGAAGTCCAAGTACATCTGGAGGCCCAAGGTTGGGGACCACTGGGCTAGAGCATCTAGTTAAGGTCAAATCGAGCTGATGCCAATGCTTTGATCTTGGATGTCTCCAAAGAGCTTTGTATTAAAGAACGTGTTGGTGACACAAAGACCATAATAACAGCAAAACGGCAGCAAGTGTTGGCCAGTTTCGTTCATCTTCCCAATGCCGAAACAAGTGGGCCAACAATTGTGATCAGCACCAGCTCTAGCATTAAAGTTTCCAAGAATTAACAGTGTCTCTCTCTGGGGCATTTTTTTTTATAGTAGCTGCCAGATCGTCATAGAATTTCTCTTTGACTTTTGTTGTAGACAACAGTATTGGTGCATACGCTCTAATGAGGTTGACCGGTCCTGCTAAGGAGTGGAGCTGCAAAAACATGATTCTTTCACTCCTCGCAGTAGGTAGAACAATGGATCTCAGCAGAGTATTTCTAATGGCAAAGCCAACACCATATTCCCTGGTCTCATTCGATGGTTTTCCCTGCCAGAAGAATGAGACATTTTTTCCTTTGACAGATCCCAAGTCTGGCAAGCTCGTCTCTTGCAGGGCAGCATTGTCCATCTGCAGCCTACTCCGTTCCATGTCGATGACAGCTGTCTTGCGTGCGTTGCCTATTTCCTGCAGGTCATCAGAAAAGCCAGGGGTCATTGTCTGAACATTCCAGGTGCCCAACTTTAGGACAGAAGTTTTCTTAAGATTATTGCATGGTGCAGAGTTATTGATCTGCTTTTCGGCTTTCACCCTAAACCCCACATACCCCGTGAGGTTAACAGACCATGGCAAGGCAGCACTTTATTGGCTGGCGGCTGCCCAGCTGAAGGCAGGCAGTAGCTACCTAGTGAGGTGCAATGATCTCTCCCCTTGTCAGAAGTAGCCCCTGGTGTCATGCTCTATGCCAATTGAGCAAAGACTTATAACCGGTAACTGTTACTTCCTGTGTTGTTTCGACGCTGTATGCGAAGCTGGAGTGTCCTCTCCAGAGCACAAAGCCTGGGTAAAATAATACTGTTACCCAAGCAGAAAATCCTCCCTCTCCACATCAATGATGTAGTCCAATGGAAAGGCAAGAGCCAATACAGCTGATTCCAGCAACATCACAGGAGTTGCCAGAGCATGACTGTACACAGTCACAAACTGCCTCCCGGACTCTGGCTCTGGATTTTGCCTCGAGGTTAACTCCTGAAGCCTTTTCCATCAGTGGATATAGCCATATGGCAGTGGAGGTTTGAAATTGGAGTTTTTCTTCTCCTAGATGAGCTGCCTTCCAAGGCTAAAGGGCCCCACCTACCCGGGTGCATAGATTACCATGCTTCTGGGACACGGAAAGGAGTATAAAAGGGGTGGAAAAGGAAAGGGGGAAGAAAGTTACTTACATAGTTAAGGGATTAATCTGATTGAAAGAAAGAGGAATTGGGGACAATATCTGGACAGTGAGAAGCTTTTTACCTCCATTTGTTTCCTAAAAAATAAGCTGTTCTTATGACACAATTCACCTCAGCCTCTTATTTATTGAATATTATTTATTTAAAATATTTCTATCCTGCCCAAGGGGTGAATCGTACACTGAAAATGTCTGAAATTAAGGATCCATCAATCAAAGCAGAGTTTCATTTTCCCTTCCACTCTTCTTACATAAATAAGTAAAACACATTAATAGTATGTAGGAATGAACAGGAGAGGGAAGAACCTTCCCAAGCAGAGGAGAAGAATGGCTGGAGAGCAGGGATGGGCCAGTTTGATTAGAACAGTGATTGTTCCTCCTCATCATTTCTGGGTTGTTGTTTTTTAATTCAGCTAAGATTATGCCATTGTATGTCAGAGATATGCCAGTTCAGGACTAGTTGAGAAAAAGCGGCAACAGAGGAGGGCACAATACAGGAAGAGAAAACTGGCCAAATCAGTCCTTTGCTGTTGTCAGCCATATCCATTCTACCAATTTCGCTCATTTCAGGCCAAGAGTTTACAAAAAGCCCTATTAGATCAGATTAAAGGATGTCCTCATTAAACTTAGGTTTTTGAGGGCTATTGTGTTTGGCATTGGTTTCTTTAAACAACCCAACGGAAAGTTGTTTAAGTGAAAACTTATGTAAAATTAGATAAAGAATCTACTGAAGAAGATGGTCCAAACAGATGACACGCAGATTTCCTCAGCTGGACCAGGACAGGACAGCTGTCTTGCAAAACCTGGAGCCAAAATGGGAGTGTTAGATGTTCAGAAAATCATTTCTGGCCAGTTTAAAGAATTGATGTCTTTCTCCACCATTCTTCCATTGACCCAGTCATGTAGGATGACAAGTGAGTTGAAAGGATAATACATCACTTTCCGATTATTATCACAATTTGCCACTATAACAGCTAGGCATTCTCTGATTACTGCTACAGTACATCGTCTATTTTGACTACATGATCTGGAGTGAAATCAGAGTGCTCTTTCACATGAAGGCCTCTTACCCCATGTTAAGACAGAAGGCACAATTCCTCTTTACATGAACACACTGCACATTTTCCATGCTGTTCTCGGTTATGCCAATAGATAGGGCACATTTTCACTTGTTTTGGGATTGACTTCCAGAAATGTTTTACCACCCATAACTCAAGGACTGATAAAAATTAGGCTCTTCATAAGAATTATATTTTTATGCAAGTGAAGTGAAACTGCTGTGCCCTGACATCATTTGTCCTATTGTATGCTTTAGTGTTACAGTTCTCATGCTTACATTTTAAAAATGAAAGGATTTATTATTAAAGTGTCCCTTGCCTTGATGGTCTTGGAGGAAATTGTATTTTCTGCATTCTTTTCTTGGGAGAAATGATTAAATCTTGTCTTGTTCCAATTAATCATATTTTTTCACAGTCTTACTAGCTCATCAGATCTCTGTTAATTTCTTCCATATAGATTTTGGACAGCATCTCACCAGAAAGTAAGGCTTTTTGTTGTAGATGCTGGCTAATTTTACATAACCTCTTTGTCCCTTTGGACTAATCTGTAACAACAGCACCACCACAAGGCTGTTTTTTGTCTCTCGTTTATCTGTACTGTGAGTTTTCGTTTGTATCTGCTGCATATTCTTGAATATTTTTCAGAGCACACTTACTCAGCAGTATGAGATCCTTTTGCTTTGACCCTACCTTTGTACTAGAATTGCCATGTTTAATTTTATAGCACACACTTTGCTTTAGGTGTAACTCAATACCTATGTATATACTAATAATTCATTCGTTCAGCAATCTCCATTTTAAGGCTGAATCTAGATTAATTTTTGCACTTTTCTCTTTCTTCTGCCATCCTCTATATCTGTGTATCACCTAACTGATGAAGAGTTCTGGAAAACTCAAAAGCTTGCAGACTTCTGTGACATTGTAGGTGATTGTAATAAAATACTGCTCACTCTGTGAAATTTCTTTGCTTTGTTCTGGTTTTCTCATGAATCAGCATTTGGGTTTTTAAAATTGATTGTCAAATATCCTTCTGTTTAAAGCTTTAATCAAAGTGGAACAAGGCGTGGGATAGAATCTCCTTTAATCCTTTAGTCTACAAAGACAGAGAGTTCTTATAGCCGAGTTGCAAGTCAGGTGCATGAATAGATGTTCTCGTGCAATGATAAAAGTGATATACTGAAAACTGTACTTTATAGCCACTGATAGTTTACTAAGAACTGAAATGTAATAACTAGGCTGTCAGGAGAAATTGTTGAAATATAAATTGTTTAGCAGCTGCTCCAAACTGTCAATCCAAAAGGAATGTAATAGCTTTTAGAGCTGCATATTACTCTCCACTTAGCTGTCAGGTGTAATAATTTCTTTAAAGTGACTTTTAAATCTTAAAATATAAAAATTGCCTCGTTTCTAAATCAGGCACAGAGTATTTTTCTGAAATTATGAATATTTTAAGTAAGAATTTAAATATTAAAATACAAGTCAATTAGAGTTAACATTTTTGTGCAAAAAGTCAAGAGTTCAAAAAAAAAAAAGATACTGGAGTTCGCAAAGGTTGGAATGAAGGGGTGGGGGCACTCATTTTTTCCAAATCTTTAAAGCAAACATGTGAATGTGGCAAAAGTGCTTAGAGCATAACATTATTTGCTGAGCAAAATGTTTATAGGGGACAGCAAATATGAGTGAGAGAATGAATAAATGAATGAACAGGATTATTACCGTTGATGCAAAAGTGTATAGGCTCATACCTGAGGCCAGCATAACATATTACTTCCTATCATGCATAAATGTTGTGGCATTTCTATCTATTTAGTTTGGGTATTTAAAATATTTTTACCCCGCCTTTCTTGTTAAAAGGCATCTCACATCATTAAAAAGACAGTATTTAAAAATCTAAAAAACAGTAAGCATACAAATATTTTAAAAGAATGCTAAATAAAATCAATGCTAAAAATACATTTAAAAGCAACAGAGCCCAATGATCCCCTTTAAAAAAACAAAACAAAAAACCCTCTCCCACTCCCAAGCCAACTACACCAGAGCACAGAGTGCTGTCCTCTGAAGATGCCGGCCACAGAGACTGGCGAAACATTAGGAAGAACAACCTTCAGAACACGGCCAAAGAGCCCGAAAAACCCACAACAACCACCAAAAACCCCTCTCTTTCTTCAGTGTGACCATAATTTCATGCTCTCCACATTTGTTCCCCAAGTTATTCCTGCCCCTTCATTCTTCCACCCCATTCCCATCATTATGGAGGAGCTGGATTTTTGTCTCTTTACATAGGTTGATTTCATAGCATCCGGATTCATTGATTACACTGAATAGTAACAGTTTAGATTTTGCCACATTGAAAGAACACAGGCAAAATAATTTTCTCATTTTTGTGTTTTTCACAGCCTGCCAACCAAGGGTGCCACTATCAGAAAGAAATGAACCCTCTTTCCCATTCCAACCCACGGTAAGCTGCAGTTTACAACAGATATGTGCACAGAATGTTCTTAACAACCAATCAATGAGACTGTTTATGGGTAAAGTCTTAGGTCTTTTTTCCAGGTGTTCTTTCTTAAAAAGAGAAGTCCACCCCCTGTCCTACACACACACACACACACACACACACACATATTTTGCAGCCGCTAACATGTATATCTGCCTGTGGTAATGTGAGGGGGAAATGAGAGCTAGGGAGGGCTGCAGCTCACAGTGTTGTATGTAGCTCAGCAGCATCTGCTGCTCCCTCTAAATACTGCAGTCACTCTTAAGAAGCTATGCTGATGTGTTGGGAAAAGAATATATTAGGAAGCATCAAGAATGATTTAAAAGTGGAATCTGGAATTCATGAATAGCTTAAGGGGAATAGCTGTGCATAGATTAAAGTAGTGCTTTTCCAATTTTCTTAATTCATGGGACTATTTCCAGAGATCTTCACTGGGCTTATCCTGGAAACAAGTTTAAGGTGTTCAGTAATGCTCAGCTGAATGGGAAAGGGAAGTCCTAGGAGCCCCTGAATTCTCATGTTCATCTGAGCGGAAGGTGACTTCTTTAGTTCAAATCCAGGAAAACAGGAACTAGGAAGGAAAAACTTCATGCATGTACAGAGTGACCTCTTAGCTTAAGGTGTTCTCCCGTTGTGTGAAGGGAGGGGGATTTTTGCCTTGTGTCCCAAGTTTACCTGATGACAGAGCTTTAAAAAAAAACCAAAAGCCGTGGAAAACCAAAACTCTATGGCTTTGCTGGGATATTAATTTCAAGGACTGGCCCTGGGAAGACTTGGAGAGAGATTTTTCACTACTTGGGATGTCGCCGTGCAATTCTTAGCAGCAGAAGCATGTGAAGATACAAATTTAAATTCATATTTTGAGATAAAATAAAATTTTTTGATTAAATTTAAATTTAAAAGAAACATATTCTTTTTTAAAAATGAATGTAAACATGGAATAGAATGGGCTAGGCAAAGTGACAAAAACCATAAACAAATTCATTTGTTTCTTGCTTGTATGTCTGAGGTAAGGTGTCTTGACTCTAAAAGCATGTATGTGCAACTCCGACCAAGATGGAGGACGTGTGGATTTCAGTATATTCAATTTACAGCAGGACACACGAGAAGGGGTAGCTTAGCCCATATGGATCCATCAACAATTTACAGCCAACAGGAAACATTTTACTGCCTTCCAACAGTAAGCACAAAGATATTCTGAAGGAAAAAGACCAAGGGAACCAAATATCCGATTGCCATGAATTTTTGCTTACCATAGCAGAATACATTGGAGGGAGTAAACCAGGCAAACCTAATAAAAGCGAGGACACTGTCTTCAGACTCTAAACATGCAGATCACATGAAGCATTTGCCTGGGTCTCAGGTGTAATAGACATGACAGTTTCCAACACAAAATACAGATTTTACATTCAGCATTAAAGATACAAGCTGGGAAAAGTTCCTTTGCTTCACTACAACTTTCAGAATTCCACAGCCAACATGGCCAGTAGCTTGTGAAACCTGATGTTTTAAAAAAATAAACTTTTTCCTTCTCTGTTAAGCATACCTAGAATCATAGAACTGTAGAAAAGTGAAGTTAGAAGGGGCCTACAAGGCCATCAGGCCTAACCTCCTGCTTAATGCAGGAATACAATATCTGCGAGGTGATTATCCAAGTTTTTCTTGTATCCCTCCAGTGTTGGAGCATTCACCAACTCCCGAGGTAACTGTTTCCACTGTCGTATTGCTCTAACAATTAGGAAGTTTTTCCTGATATTCAGCCGAAATCTGGCTTCCTTTAACTTGAGCCCATTGTTGCATGTCTTGTACTCTGGGGTGACCAAGAACAGATCTTGCCCCTCCTCTGTATGACAGCCTTTCAAATATTTGAAAAGTGCCATCATATCACCCCTTAGCCTTCTTTTCTCAAGGCTAAACATACCAAATTCTTTCAGCCTTTCCTCATAAGGCTTGGTTTCCAGCCCCCTGATCATCCTCTGAAACTGTTCTAATTTGTTAGCATCCTTCTTGAAGTATGGTGTCCAGAACTGGACACAGTACTCAAGGTGAGGCCTACCCAGTGCTGAATAGAGAGGGGACCAGCACTTTGTGGGATTTGGAAACTATACTTCTATTGACACAGCCTTAAATAGCATTTGCCTTTTTTGTAGCCACATCACACTGTTGGCTCACGTTTAGCTTGTGATCTACGACAGTTCCAAGATCCTTCAAGTTTCTCTCATGTGATTTCTCTACTCAAGTGAATTGTTTTTAATGTGGAAGAAAAATCAAAAGAGAGGCATTTTTACCTCCAAGTTTCACCCTAGGAAACAGTCTCTACAACCTAGATACCATATTTCAACTGCAGCTCAAATAATTTAATTTTAATTGTGGAAATGAAGCTTGTTTCCTCCCCATCTTTCCCTTTTTTAGAATAATTTCTACTCAGAACCAGAGCAAGTCTATTAATTTCTTCCATCTTTTGTTTTCATGTAATTTATTAAACAAGATGAGTGTATTTGGCTTCAAATTAATGTTTGTTTCCTTGATGTCAGTTGATATATGGGCTCCAGTCCAACTTTCACTGAAGCTGGTTTGCTTCGGAATAGTATTTGCAGTGTGTTAACCTTGTTTTAAAGTAAGTTGTATTTGCAGGGTTTCATATGGCTTTCTAGTATAGATCCCATTTTAAGAAACATATTTTAGCGGACATCATTATTCTAATTACTATATCAGGCAGCATCCAAAGGTAGCTTTTTGTCTTACAGTGGGGTCTCTACTTAAGAACGTCCCTACTTAAGAACAATCCAACTTAAGAACAGCTCCATTTGCTAAATTTTGCTTCTACTTGAGAACAGAAATCCAAGATAAGAACAGGAAAAAACCTTTCCTGCTCTTTTTTTAACCTTAGGTCATCTTAGGTTAAAAAAAATTCTCCCCCTAGTGGTAGAGTACGTATTAACCAGCTTTGCATTAGTTCCTATGGGAA